GACTGTGGAAATATGTTGATGTCTATTGAAATGTTCATATTGTACTCATGACATGTTGAACATGATATTGGAATTGTAATTGTACATTATATTTGTATATGCATGAAAAATATCGCATTCTTGGGCATTTGACATGAGTGTCGGTGTGTGTGTGCATGTTTTTGAATCAAACACCATTCTTGGTGGTTAAGGTGTGGACTCGGGAAGGTTAGACCTAGGTTTGACTAAGTCGCACGGTTGCATGAAAAACTTGTGTTAGGTATAGCAAGAAGGGTTAGATCCTCCCTCGAGTGTGAGACCTGATTACTGGTTCATACACTTCCGTCAGTTCAAGTCCAAAAAAGTGCATCTGTGTGTGGAACCGGCGGTGAGACACCAGAAACTATGTACCCAACAAAGACACATGGTTGTTTTTATTAAATAGTCATTGGATGCATATCATCAATGACGGGCACTTGGGATGCCCGATTTCATATGCATAACATTGCATGTGTTAAAGGAGTCGGTGAAGGCTCTGGTTGAATTGCATGTGTGAGTATCATGGCATGGCATTGAGGATTTCATTATTGAATTGCATATTCTTGAATGGAATGATTGTTGCTGTTGAATTGCATGTGAATATTTTATATGCATTTAGGTTGGGTAGTAGCCTCTTTAGGAGATCCCTATTGAGTGTGGCTCACCCTTTTTGGGGACAATATTTTAGGCGTGGGACATGCGTCGGCAGATGGCTTTCACTCGGGCCCTCATTATTGAAGAAAAGTCGATATGTGACTGTAAACTATGTTTTTTGTAAAACTATGATGTAATTTAGTTTTTGGACATGTAATATTGTAAAGGATTGTAAAGTGAACTCGTATGAACTGTATTTTGTTTAAAAATTGATGTTATATGAATTTGGGTAAATGTTGTATAAGGTTGGAATGGATTAGAATTAAAAAAGGATGGAATCAGGGGAAAGCTAGGAAGACTTACTAGTCAAACGATGAGTTCTTCTACCGGTAGAATATTTCTAGTAGGTTTTTTTCTACCGGTAAAACGTTGAATTTTGCCGGTAGAACATTTCCAATGAGTTTTCCTACCGGTAGAACGCTGGTAAACCTATCGGTATAATAATTCGAGAAGGTTTTCCTACTAGTAGAACGATGAACTCTTCTGCTAGTAAGTTTCCCTTTAATTTTCAGAAATTCAAATGGTTTTGCTAGGCCTTCGGGTGTTGAGTCTTTTTGTTCAAATGATGTAAATTGACAATAATTAAGGTTAAATTGATGTATATTGAACCCTGGAAGGGTCATGTGATTGAATTGTACACAAGTTATGTGTTTGGGAGTGCTTGGTACAAGGGAGACTCTGCCCAAACTCCGTGTTGTTGTGATCCCGATAAAGGGGGTGTTGTGCTGTGGTGTCAGGTTATGCGGCATTCAATGCATAAACCGAAACTCTGTTTTCATTGAATCATCAACCTGCCGATTAAATAGCAGGAGTAAACCTTTTGAATGGTTCACCTTCGGGTTTACTAAAGTTATTTGATTGATGTATGGTACATAGACCTTCCGGCTAACCTAATCAGTTGTTGTGATATGATTCAGTTATGCATCAAACCTATTGGTTAGCTTTCCAGTGAAATGGAAGTTAATTATTGTAAGGTGACATTTTCATAAATAAGCAGTATAAAGCATGTTGGATCTTCGCACTGAATAATACCTTTTTATCATTATTTGTCAAAGTTTTAGTTAAGTGTTTATTTGATAATTCTAAGCTCACACCACAAGTTATTTTGTTGTACACTACACACAAGACAATTTTACCATTTTTGTTTTGAATACCAATAGTTAGCTCCATGTGGGTTCGACCTCAGACTTAACCGAGAAATATTCTAATTTGACCACTTATATTTGGGTGTATGACATAAATTAGGTCAGATCAGAGAGCCGAGCAAAGCAATGGTCTATCGAGGGGCATGTTTATGGTACTATTATTTTTGGCATCATAAATACCAAAATGTTGCCACAAGTGGCCTTGGGCCGCTTTAATACATGCAACCCAAGAAACCCATTTTGAAGAAGGAGCCTTTCAAAAACGAACAGGGGGTTCCATAACTCCAGTTTGATCACTATAAATGTTCTCTAAACGGAAGAGGTTCTTAGGATACATGATATAGCTGACAAACTTTGGTTGGGTGGATATGCAAAAAAAGTAGGACCAAGGCCATTACCAATGAAGAAATGTCAAATTTGGGTATAAAGGTATTACGGTCAATTTTGTGAGAAGGAACCTCTAGAAGTGCTTCTTGAAGAGTGGTAGCACGAGAGTCTAACAAGGAAACTAAGTCTTAGGCACCGAACACAGTGGCCAATCCTGAGATAACATGTAAGTAGAGGGGTTAAGGTTGCAACGATTCAACTTTAAGGAACCAAAATGACACTCTAAAGGAGAAGCACATCATTGCGTTGATTTTTTTTTTTTTTGGGGGGGGGGGAAATGTTTACACCCAAATAATAAAAGATCTAGGACGGACATGTTACAAGGACCAACAACTAGGATCAAGTCAACAAAGATTCAAGAAAGATAAGACAAATGAGAGGAAAAGGATCTTCATTGATATCGGATAATGAAAAGACGTGACATCATGAGCCGATTGTTATAGAAGAATAAATGCACGATAGATGACGTTGGAAATAAATGCCATGATTACTGGCCTCTTGGCCAGAAAAAACGGCTCTGGAGGTTGATAGCCACCGCCTATAAATACAGAGGCCTAGGCTAGATGTAAGGGGTCTCTCAATCACACACTTACATATAGTATATCAGAGCCTTCCTCTGCACTATTTAGGTTAATTTATTTCTTTTACATTATAATTGTCACTTCGATGATCTCTTTTCTGTTTTTATGCCAAGTACACTAGTTCATCCAAAAATTCTTTTTTATCACTTACATTATTATCGTTTTTTCAAGTTATTTCAAACTTTCAGTTCATTTGTTTACTACTAAGGAAATTGTTTAAGTGTTTGATTTCTAAGGTAAAGAAAAGAATCTAGAAGTAGCCTTCCACTTCATTTCAATAGTTTGAACAGTTACAATTTTAGAATCTTGTATTTGTTCGAATAGAAATGTTATCAGTGTTTGAAAATTAAGTCGTATAAGACTTTGGCATGCCCACAATTGTGACATGCTGTCAACTCTTGCCAGAAAATTTCTCTCAAAAGCAAGTTCAAGGTTTTTAAAGGTATGCACCACTTAAATTTTGTGTCCGAAGGTAACGAAGGGCTTGAATTTGGTTTGGCAAGGTAATTGACTTATCCTTCCATTTCACATGAACTCATGCGGGTTTATATCGTAGGGACAAATTTTGCCCGTGACAGGAGGCAATAGTGACTTGTCGGTTGCTTTGTCAGATATTGTTCAATCTAATATATTTAAGTTTTCAAAAAATCCAAAGAAAATAATTAGTATATGCTCAAGGATCGTAATGTGTTGAGAAAAGGCCACGCTGCTTTTACTGGTTCCATTTCTTTTCACCGATTTCATAAACGAATAGTCAGCTTTTGTGGGGCCTACAAAATGCTCTTCCAGAGCCTAAGGAGGGTTAATTTGAGAGCACAGTATTTACTGTTAATAGTCCATTTTGTGTCACATCATATATGAGAAAGATAATATTGTCTACAAAGATTAAAAGTTAAAAGAATGAAAAATTAAATAGATAGATATTATATTTGGCGAGGAATGAAACTAGAAAAGATAGAAAATGATAGATTAATCTTTCTTCTAATTCAACAAAATCTATTCCATCAAAATTTGAAAAAAAAAAATTGATGAAAAGTTAATTGTGTATGTTAAAATATATGTTATTGTATTTATATCCTTTAATATGTGTATATGTTCTATTTATCTATTACATATTAAATACACTTTAATTTTACATATAGATATAATGGTAAAATATGCATTTATATTTTTTTTATCTTTCTACTTTTTCATCATACCAATTAAAAAATATATCACGATCATTTTTTATCCAACTATTGTTTTATGTATCAGACCAAACATACCATTGATCCATTAATGTCTTACCTCTCCATCTTGAGAAAGAATTAAAGCAATCTTAATGTCGATCTTTCAAAAGAAGCAAAAAGCAAACGTATTTGTATAAGTCATTGCTCCAATGCATTCAAACTTAGGCTCCACAGAAGGCAGACCTAAACCCGGCCTAGTCATTGCTTCACATGTCCACCAAGGTGGTGGCTCCCTTGTCTAATGATTTAGAGAGAGAGAAAGAGAGTCTCAAATGTGGAAATGAAGAAGGAAATGCTGGGGCAATGAGCAAGATGTGTGAGGGTGATCATGTGAAAAAGAGAGAGGGAGAAAAAAAGAGTCTCCAATATGGAAATGAAGAAGAAAGTGTGGGACAATGAGCAAGATGTTGTATCAGCGTCATGTTCACATTACTCACCAGTAGAGACTTGAATAATTGTAAGGCCATGGAGTAAAAAGAGCCATCTTGGATCCTCTCATGTTACATAAAGAGTGCTCTTGTACCCAAGTAAAGACCTTTTGCGGGATACTTTTGACTCTGCCGGGCTGTCCTTTATAAGAATGTTTGACTCAATCATGGTAAGTTAATCTCAATTTGGGCCTTTATGAATTTAAATAAAATTTAAAAAATAAATTATTTGATTAAAATTTGATACAATACCTGCTTCGCAAATTAACCACAGTTCATGTTAATCATGTTATTGAATGCCACCAACTACATAATTCTAATCGTATAACTACTTTGGCCCAAACTTACCCTTTAAATGTCTCGAGAGAGAAAAAAAAAACATTCACATAGTTAAGGTTTAGAATAACTATTTTGAAATAAACTTACCTTTTAAATGTCTTTATAGAGAAAGAAAAACATTTACATAGTTCAAGTTTAGTAGAACAAGCTTCAGAGGATACAAAACTGACCGTAGAAAGTTAATTAATATAATATTATTATTTCATCCCTTGCTCTATCCCACACTTTAATCCCTCCCTATAAGTAAAAGGACATGCTTTTTGTAATCATTGCCAAGAAGAATAGCCACATGATAAAAAAAAATACACATAATTAATGCCCACATAAACTACTTTTACTTAGACAAGCAAAATTTGCTTTGCCTTATTACTTAGCAAACGTTGGGCCCAAATCCCACATACCCATTTGCTCCATCAAAAGAGATCTGGATTCCCTCTTGCTGGATGTTCCCTATTATGGAAAGCCCTGATGGAGATGGAGCAAATGCAAAACAGAAAGTACCTGTTTCGTCCACGGGAATCAGAAAGTTTCTAGCCGGAAGAGTTAGGATTGCCCCGCCGGAGAAGTAAAATGAAACGGTAGGCACCCTAACCGACACAAACCCATTAAGATCATAGCATGTATCGAATATAGAAATTCCAGAAATCCTAGGAAGGCTGGCAGTTTCCACGATAAAAGCATCACGAAAAGCCACATAGGCTGCTGTGGGAAACCTTGATACAGCAGTCCCGGTGTCCATAACCACCCCTCCATCTCCCAATGCGGTTAGTTGGAAAAGATCTTCCGGTATGGGTACCCGCAAGCCTCCGACCCCAAGACCCGAGAGCCCAATATAATAGAAACTGGGGGCCCGTGGGTTGCGAAGGAGCGGTATCCATGCAGCACCCACAGGCAACGCTCCACGCCCGAATTCTAGTGAACCAAATGAGTTGGTGCCTCGACTAACGAGACAATAAGTGAAGGATCCACCTGTTTGCCCACTCAATTGACCCACAAGTGACATGGAGCCCCATCCAAGGCCCAGTAGACCGGCTGCTCCAACAAACAATCCCCGGTTCCTATGACCACACCCGATAGCCACATTCTGGACCAAGGTCCGCCCAAAAGTAAGAGTCTCAACGGCCAGTGTTCCCTTGGTATACGACCCATCACCATACGATACCTCGTATCTGCACCTGCCCGCATGACAACCTGAATTCTCAAGGCGTTCACAGATTGAGGAGCTGCATGACACTCCAGAAAACGAGGCAGAGTCATTGGGGTCGAACACCGGGTCGGACTGGCGGTAGCATTGATTGCAAGGCTGACACTGTACCCATACAATATCACTACCAGAGTCAATAACCATGTATTGGCTCCTTGGGGGACTACCAACACCAATCCTCACAAAATATTCTCCACTGCCTTGGTCCATGCCTGAAACCACTTCTGACCCGAAATCCTCCACCGCGTAACTAACTCCACCGCCGCCAGAACTGGCTGCTCCGCTGCCTGACAGGCGGTGAATCAGGGTAGCAACCCTTTTAACATCCCTTTGCACGCGGGCTTCGAAACCGTGATGATGATCTGGGAAATGGGTGAATATTTTGTCTCTATGAACTATATTGAGCTTCCACTTCCCCTGATCACCATCACTGTGATCAGTGTATTCGGATGTTTCATGATTTTCATTTCGTTTAGGGGTTGCCGCGAGAGTTTCCTTCACGTTCAAGTGTTGGAAGGAGGGGTATGTTGTTGCATGGACTGCCGAGGTAGTGGGAGCGGTGGTGGGAGCGGTGGTGCTTGTGGTGGTAGCAGTTGAAAGGTGTAGCAGCACCACTAACAAAACTAGTAGTTTCGGTTTTGGTAGGGCTGATGTTTTGCAGAGGATGAGATGGTAGCTCATTTTTTTGCTTTAGGGTTTTGGGAGGTGGAGAGAAAAAGAGGGAGAATGGTGGAGGATTTATTTGCTTTTGGGTTTGCTGCCCTGTTCTTGTTTTTGGCTACTGCTTGGTCTTTCCTTTTTGTTTTTTTTTTCTTTAACCTTTTGGATGAAAGTAACTCTAATTAGTAATAACCATCTCATTTCTACCAAAACGACACCGAGTTTCAATCAATATGAGAAGAACATTCATAATACAGTCTGTATTTTTACTCAATTCTCTATTTTATGGAGTTCAACTCTTAAAAATTATCTTTAATATGTTTTGTTGAAATTAAAAACTTATGCCTTAGCTACCAATGGAGGTGTTCTTGCAAGACAAGTTGACGACCGGAGGGGTTTCGGTAATCGACCCTCTGATGATAAAATCAGAAAATAATGATTGAGTAATTGTATTTTGTTGGGAGTAGTCAATTTACCTTAATGATACCCAACTTGGCCTTTTTATAGGCCGAAGATTGAACCATTGGAAGATCCTTAGCTATTATTTCAATGAGGTAAAATAGATGATGACCCCCTCTAATGATATCTCAACTGATTTTAATTAGTCAAAACGCACGGAGTTGTGGAATTGGGACGTTGGCGAGCTAGATGGTGAGCAAGGAGCTAAGGGTTGGGTCATTCCGAGCAGCAGAGCAACTCTACCAAGCTCATACCAAATTTGCCATTATCATGCTTTATTTTTGGAGTAGTTAAATTAGATAATTCACTTGAAGAGCCAAATTCACTTCTTCTTTTTTTTTTTTTTGTGGTGAACACAAACAACAGGACAATTCAAACACTCTCTTCATGGGTCTTAAAGGACAATTGCATTCAAAAAGACTCATTTCTTTTGATTTAAATAAAAATAAAATTAATAATTTGTACATAAGTTGCATAATTCAAAATTCAAACAAATTTAAAACTATTTAATTTTAGATTTTTTCAATATTAGAACTCTCTCTCTCACGCACATATGTGTATATATATATATGACACAAAACAAGTTATTGCGATATATAGTGACAAATTCAAAACTGGTCCAATATCAAGAAAACAATTGCATCATACATACAAAATGAAAGTAGCATATTCCTAGTGACATATTCGATTGGCAACTTAAAATTTGATCTCATATCAATTATGTATTTACATCATAATAAAAAATCACATCGACAAATTCATAGTGACAAATTAAAAATTAATTCGACATCAAGAAACAATTGCATCATGACACAAAATAATAGTGAAAAATGTACGGTGATATAGTCCCAGTGACATAACTATATTGACAACTGCATATTAAACATTGAACCAATATCAAGAAAGAGTTGCAATATATCCAATGCATATATATCAAAAAGGCTAGGAAAATGAATAACAACATAAAAAATTAGATCAAAAACCATATATAACCAAATGCGGTTCACTAATGCTATTGAGACATAATTTAGGAACATAGGTTGGAGACTTAATACATTATGACCATTAGATTAATAGTGTTGAGACCTAGTGATAATTTAATCTGAAGTTGGCCTTGACATTTTTTGAGTATTTCCTCTATTGTTTACACTATAAATATCCCATGGGCGTGTTTTAGAGTTTTGATACATGTTTTTCAACCCTAAGTAGCCTAGGAGAGTCTTGTAGAGAAGAAGAAAAAGGAATAGATTGGGCTAGATCTTGAGGACATCAATGCATAGACAATCACACCAGACATCTTAGGAGCAATTTTCCATGGAATTAAGGTAGTGTTTCTTTCCTTTTCATATTCATTGAGGTTAGGGCTATTATGTATGTAATTTTTGAATCAAACCTATACATATATTATATAATCACCCTTGTTTTTGGATTTATACATGATTCTTTTCTATTGAAAAAAAACACCTAACTTATATTTGATGTACATTTTTGGTTTTTAAAACCCTAGATCTTGATTAATGCTCAATCGAATAATGTTTCTCTTGTGATCTCATGTACATTTATTGAAGTTTCCTATGTTTTAAGAATTGTGGAATTATTGTTCATGGTACATGGGGATTTTTTTGAAAAGCATGATGTAAATCTCTAGCGAGGGTGTGATGAACTTGGATTACATTCGAACTTATATTGCAAAGTATTTAGATGCATTCTTACCTCGAGCCGTTCAAGGTTTTCTATACTCGTAGTGGGGTTTTGGTTCCTTATGGGGTACCAAACCACTATTCATTCATGGGATTCGAGGCTGAAGGCTAGTATACTATTCATGAAAAAATTTCATTAAATATTGATGCGTCACATGGTTCCTAAATTTTTGTTGTCTATGGGGTTTGATTGAGAATGTGGAGTTTTTTATGGACTAGATATGTTCGATGTGTCAATTCTTGTTGATCAGCCTATGTACATGAGATATTCTGGATTGTAATCCTAAGATATTTAGTGGACACATGCATATAATGATTGTTACTTTAATTCATCAAAAAGCGAGATACATATCTGAGTCAACATACTTGGTGAATTGAGAGATGAATTTATTTGTAAGGTGAAAATTAATTATTAAAAGAAATCATGTCCCAGTATTTAAATGAGTTAATGATGTTTCTTGAGGAAGTTTATAAGTTTTGTCCATATCAAACTTTGTAGGTGGATTTAATTATCCGACATGACAAATAAGTTGTGGTAAGATTTCAATGATAAAAAGAAGTCAATTAAATATAATTATCAATATTTTAATTAATTGACAAACATTTGTAATCTTGAACGTGAAACAATTATTAAACATATAATAACAAGGAGCTCGAAATATAATTTTGAGATAAGGTCGAGGGATAAATAATAAATTGTTAGTGAACTAACTTATTATTAATGGATAGTAGAATATTTGTTCTAAGTTGAATATAAGATTTCTAGGCCCATTGGAAGCTTGTCCCTTATTTCTCCTTAAGTCTCTACTATAGCCTATATATATTCGCTATTTATGGTTCTCTTAGCCATACCTACATTCACATTTAGAAGAGGCAAAGAGAGAGAGAAAGAGAAATAGCAAGAGAGAAAATTTGGAGGATTGTAGACCACACTATATTCGAGTTTTTGGCATTAAAGGACATATGGTAGAAGATTGTGAGGTCTGTCGAGCCGGTTATTTGATCTACACCAGGTTTTCATTCGTGTGTGATGAGATCAATTCGTTAAAGGTAAACCCTATGTAAAATCCAGGTAAATTTGAATTTTTAATGAAAAAAGGGCAAAAGGGTAATTTGTCACTTTAGTACGAGTTAAAAACCCAATTTTTTTTAGAATTTCGATGATGAAATGGACCTCACTGCTGGATTCATCTCATGAAACTAGCTACTTAGTCAATTTTCATCGAATTCTAAGACAGTAGAATTTTTCACGTTTTACAAAGCGATCGGGTGTCGGGTGACCTCATAAACGAACTCGTGAATAAAAATTTTAAAATTAGATAATAATTTAAAGCAAGTTGAAATGAAAATATTTTAAGCTTGAATCAGGATGAATTGATTCGGGTCAAAATCGAGACCCGAGAAAGGAGATCATGTGACAAAATGTAGATGAAGAATTTAAAGGGTATAAATAAGGTAGAAAATCTAATTTTCTCCCCCATTTTAAGCTGGGTCTTCACGTTGGAGCGGGAAGAGAGGGAAAAAAGAGAGATTTTTAAACTTCTCTCTACGATCTACTTCTTCTTGTCACTCAAATCAAGAGCAAAAGTCAACCTCCTCGTCGTGGGTTATGCAAACATACTAAAAAGGACGGATTTCGCCGAAGTTTCAAAAATGAGATTTGGGGAAAGCTTGAATTAGAGCTTGTTTCGGGTTCTTTAAGCTTCCTACGATTAGTTTACGCTTCAAGAGGTAGGGTTTTCATTCTAACTAAGTTTTTTCCAACCTAGGGTGATTAAATGAAATGGGCATTATAAATGGGTAGAATAAATTCTATCTTGAATTGGGTATGTAGAAACTACTTAATGTAACTTCTAGAGTTATGTGATGAAATTAGGCATTTTATGTGATTAAATGATTTGATGTCTTGAAGGTGTTTGATTTAATGCCTATGTGAAATTAAGTGTGTTTTGCATAAATTATGTATAACATGCTTGGAAAATTATTGTTGAATGTATAATGTTGATATATGCTTGGTTATGTATTAACATTAAGATTATTTATGGTAATTATATGTATTTGATATAATTGGCCATGGAATATGTTGAAATGTGGTTGAAATGGTTCATATGACACTCATAACATATTGAACATTGAATTAGTATCGCAATTGTGCATTAGATTGCATAAATATGGAGGTATTGCATTCATGGGCATTAGGCATAAGTGGGGGTGTTGTGTGCATGGTTGTCATCAAACACTACTCTTGGTAAATGATGTGTGGGCTCAGAAAAGTTAGGCCAAGGTCAGGGTGAGTTGCATATTTTGCATTGAAAATTAGGTCGGGGTTAGCAAGAAGGGCTAGACTGTCCCTCAAGTGCAAGACCTAGTGATTAGGATACACACTCCCTTGATTTAATCCATAAAGTGTGTCGGTGTACACGGAATCGTTGGTGAAAGTCCATGAATTCCGTGTCGGTTAGGTACCTGTTGGTGTAAGTCCAATAATACCCACCTCAAGAAAGACTCAGAGATTTTAAATGATCATTAGATTTGAAACATCAATGATGGGGGCTTAGAATGCCTAGATTTGCATGCATGACATTTGTATGTGTTAAGGGTTCGGGTTGATGGGCATGAGTGAGTCTCATCTCATATCATGGCATGATATGGTGAATTCCGACATTGAGTTGCATATTCTAGATTGGAATGCTTTGTGGCTTGTTGAAATTACATATAATATTTCATATACATCTAGATTGGGGAGTAGTCTCTTTAGGAGATACTCTATTGAGCGTGGCATACCTTTTATGGAAAAATATTTCAGGTGCAGGTTATACACGGTAGAAGGCTCTCATTCGGGGCCTCAAGGATGCAGGAAAGACGATTTGTGGTTTTTAAACCATGTTTTGTAAAACTTTAATGTAATTCGATTGTGGACATGTAATTATGTGAAAATGATTGTAATCGAAC